TTATCTTTTTTTTTTTTTTTTTTTTTTTTTTTTTTTTTTTTTTTTTTTTTTGATACTGGGTATTGAACTTGGGATCTTGCACTTTCAAGGCAGGAGGTGGAACCACTGAGCTAAACCTGACCCCCTCTTATGGGGAATCTTAAAACACTTAAGAAAATAATCCAGGCCAAAACCAAAATTAAGGTGGGAAATTTTAAAGATTAAAGTGGAAATCAATGAAATGAGACTAAAACAAATTTAAAAAAAAATCAGCCAACCAAAGAGCTGGTTCTTTGAAAGAACAAAATAGATAATCCCTTTGCCAGACTTACAAAAAGACAGACAGAAAAGATTCACATCAATAAAATAAATGAAAAAGGTGAAGTCACAATGGGCTCTGTCAAAATCCAGAAAATAATAACTACTTTGAAAAACTGAATTCTAACAAATTGACAAATTCTGAAGAAATATATAGATTCCTAGACTCATACAAATTACCAAAGCTAACCAAGAATAAGCCAATCCCTCACCAAAAGCTGAACCAACTCATTATAAGCAGTGAAATAAAGACAGTAATAAAGAATCTACCAATGACCCTAAGAAGAGCAGCGTTGGATGACACACCTGCTGCAGTGAGCTTACCAGCTGCATTTAAGGGATTCATGCAGATGAAAACTCTCTGGCCTGTTGTGTGACAAAGAAGTAAATATTAAAGGAAAAGAAAAGGAACTCTGCTCGACTGTTGGTGGGAGTGCAGACTGGTGCAACCATTGTAGAAACCAATATGAAAATACCTCATACAACTAGGATTAGAGGTCCCATATGGCCCTGCTATCTCCCTGCTGGGTATCTTCCCAAAAGATTTAAAAGAATCATACCACAGTGATATACGTTTACCTATGCTTATAGTGGCACAGTTTGTAATAGCTAAAACTTGGAAACAGCCCAATTGCTCATTAACCTGAGAATGGATAAAGAAAGTGTGTGTGTGTGTGTGTGTGTGTGTGTGTGTTTTATAAAATGGAATACTACTCAGCTTTAAAGAATGAGAAACTAGATTCATTTATAGCTAAATGGATGCAACTTGAGGCCATACTCTTAAGTGAAATAAATAGGACACTCATGTAAATACTGAATAGTTTCTCTGGTGTGAGAAACTGAAAGTGTAAATACAAATCAAAATGTATAATAGATAATGTGAAACAGAAAGAGAAGATCTAAAGGGAAGGAGGAAGTGGGAGGAATAGGAGAAGGTAAAGGAAAAAATATGAGAAATGGAAACAAAGTCTTTGTATGTGGAATGGAAGGGTTGAGGAAGGCAGGGGAATGAGGAAAGATATATCATGTAAAGGTACAAATTCCCAATAATGAATGTCATCATATTGTATTCCTAAAATGTGCCAATAAACTTAATGAAAAAAAAAGCCCCACACCCAATGGATACACTGCTGAATTCTATAAAACCTTTAAAGATGTTCTATCATCAGTACTCCTCAAGCTCTTCAAAGAAACTGAAAGGGACAGAACAATCCCAAATTCCTTTATGGAAGCCAGTATCACTCCGATCCAAAAACCAGATAAAGGCCCAATTAAAAAGAAAAAAAACTATAGGCCAATTTTCTTAATGAACATATAAGCAAAAATCCTCACCAACATATTAACAAATAGAAGGCAGCACAATACCAAAAAGGTCATTGTCATGATCAAGTAGGATCCATCCCAGAGACGCCAGGATAATTCAGCACACATAAGTCAAGAAATGTAATACGTTGCATAAACAGAAACAAGTTTTAAAACCATGTGATAGTAGATGCAAAAAAGGCTTTTGACAAAAATCTAACAATCCTTCATAATAAGAACTGAAGAAAATAATAAAAACCATACCTGACTTTGATAAAAGCTATTTATGTAAACTGACAACCAACATCATCATAGTAAAGGGCAAGAAACTGAAGGCATTCCCCCTAAAATCAGGAAGAAAGACAAAGATGCCAACTATCATTTCTATTCCAAACAGTACTTGAAACAGCAGAGCAATCAGCAAGGAGAAAGAAATAACAGGGATAGATATAGGAAAGGAAGAACTTGAATTATTATTTGCAGTTACATCATACTTTACATAGAAGACCAAAGGAACGCTATGAAAAAAAATTCTTAAAATTAATAAGCAATATAGCAGGATACAAAATCAACATACAAAAATCAACATCTGTGTATACCAATGAGAAAATTATGAAAACAGTATCATTCATGATAGCATCAACAACACAAATGAAATACTTGGCAATTAACCTAACCAAGAAAGTGAAAGACCTCTTCAAAAAAGGAGAATGAAGAGGACATCAGAAAATGGAGAGAGATCTTCTAGTCCTGGGTAGGCAGAACCAATGTTGTCAAAATGGTCATACTCCCAAAATTGTTATATAGATTTAATGCAATCCCAAAGAAAATACCAATAGTATACTTATACAGATCTAGAGAAAACACTCTTGGAATTTATATCGAAACAGAAGAGAACCAGAATAGCAAACACATTCTTGGGCAACAAAAGCAAAGCTGAAAGTATCACAATACATGACTTCAAGCTATATTACAAAGCAACAAGTGTTTAAAAACTGCCTGGTTGGGGCTGGGGTGGTGCTGCCACCTGCCTCACAAGCCTGAGGGCCTGAGTTCAACGCCCGGTACAAAAAAAACCAAACAAAAATCAAAACAAAACAAAAAAACTGCATGGTCAGAGGGATGCTCAAATATAAATCATACCTTGTTGCACATTTACAACCAATTCATTTCCCCCAGTTTTTCTCCAAATCTAAACTCTCATTTCTGGTAAATATATGAAAAAGCTTAAGCTTTTTAACGATCTGAATAAAGTTGAATATAATGTTAAAAATAATTTTAAAAACTCCATGGCACTAGAACAAAAACACACGTGGATCAGTGTAACAGAACAGAGGATACAGAAACTTCCCCTGACACTATCAACTACTTGATCTTTGACAAAGGGGCCAAAAGCATGTATTGAAGGAAAGATAGCCTATTCAACAAACGGTGTGGGAAAACTAGCTTCTTGCAGAAGACTGAAACTGGGCCTATATTTCTCACCAAGTACTAAATTAAAATAAAAATGATGCCTTGCTCACTATTTTAGGACTCGACAACCTCTAATGAGATAGCACCTTTAAAATGAAAAAATAAAATAAAATGAAAGGAAGAACTAAAAAGTACCATAATATGACTGGCTACTGTCTGAGAAATGTTAGAAAACTAGTGTAATATAGCAAATGAACGTATAGTATGTGGACCACAGAACAATCAACAAAGTTCCTTACAACTTGTTGCCAAAGCTAACAAATAATGGGCTCACTGAAATGGAACATCTTTAAATTCAAGTGTTAAATGGACCTAGTTTACATTAGTTTCCCAGTGACTGTGCCACCATTTCAGAAGTCCTTAATAAAACCAATGATTGACCATGTACATACAAAGATCCAATTCAAGTGCATGTCATTAAAACATTAAGTTAAAAATCCACAGAAATTTCAACATACATGAGCTTTACGATAAAAGTTGTTGTCTTTGATTCCTGGTAGATATCTACGCCTTCCCAAAATGGTCTGAACAAACCCATCTCTTTCACAATTCTTTACTGTCTCTCTCAGGAAACGATTAAGCCCTAGAAAGAAAACACAGAAATACTTAGTTACAACCAAAGTCCATCCTTATTTTCATTCAGTGGTTTCAACACACAGAATGAAATATGCCAAAATCCTGCCTATGATGCTTAACACTTACATATCAAAACTACACATATAAACCTTCATTTGCTTTCTGTAGACTTAGGGAAAAAGTAACTTTAGAAACTATATAATCTGTTTTTTAATCAACAATAATATGATCTGTTTTTAAATATATGACATTAAATTCCAGAACAACAGGTACTTGGGTATAATTTACTCCAAGGTCATGAGACCATTCCACACTACACTTTACAGATTTCCCTTCCTTGAAGATGCTCTTTTCCTCTACTCTTTGATCTTACCACTTTGAGGCTTAAAACATTCTAATAGTTCTTTACTATCTATATTTTGAAGAAAAGTAGGACCTTGCTGAAATTAATACATGAGTTGTAATAAACATTCACTAGTACAAATTATTGATCTCTACTTCTTAAGATTCTAAAACACAATATATGTAGTGTAGTGTTCAAAAAGATGTCCCTAGACAGCACACATCCTCTGCCATCCAGTCCAGATCCATCACAGTGCTGATGGCTCTCCAGGATGAATCTCTTGCTTCCGGGGTGGTGGGGTGGAGCTGAGGGGGCATCCCAACCCTACTCACACCTGTCTCTGTGCAAGAGGTTCTTCTCTGCCAGAGCACTGTCTCTTCATAACACCATCAGGTAACATAGACCACACTGCTCTACCCTTATTTAGATATGCAATATCTGCTTTCTGCCACTCTAACTCATCTTTTATTGTTGTTGTTGTTACTGGGGATCGAACTCAGGTCCTTGTGCTTGTGAAGCAGGACACCAAACCGCTGAGCTAAATCCCCAGCCCATCTTAAGTAACAAACACAAATGCCTCCCAATTGAAAACCCTAATTTGAGGCTTTCTCTGGTGTGGTTGGCACAAGAAAGACAATTGTTGACAAGTGACAAGAAGAGGGAAGAACCCTCAGAGCCAGGTGAAGGTGTTCAAGAGGTGTGACCACCACCACCACAGGAACCTCAGAAAGCAATCAAGATACCCTCCTTTTCCCTGTAAAAATTACTTTAAGAGACTGCGCTTCTTCAAATTTTTCTTATCTCACTCCTGTATCAGTCCTTTGAACATTCTACTGTCAGAGTTACTTGAAAAAAATTCTGAAGTATAATTTAGATCCAGTAAGAGAGCCACTTCAAGTGAACAGATGGTACATGGCCTAGAGCTACTACTACTCCTACTACTACTACAGATGGAAGACATTGCTGTTTGTCTCAGGCCCCCATTATCAGCCAGAGGCACTCACTGAGCTGCTTGATAACTCTTAGTTCTTAATGTTCTTAAATTTCATAAAATTGGATTATATTGTGTGTTCTCATACTATATGTCTACCTTCTTTATTAAGAAAAAACATTTTCAGAAATCACCAATATTGTAGCAACTATCAATATCTGATTCCTTTCCTTGACTGGTAGTATTTCACTATAGAGATATACTAAAATTTGTTTATCCATTTTTCTATTAACGTAAAGTTGGCCTGTTCTCAATATTTGGCTGCTAAAACATTCATTTCAAATATTTCTTTGGACATACCTTCTCATTTTTCTTGGGCAAACACCTAAAACTAGAATTTTGGGGTCATTTGGTTAAGTGTATGTTTAACTTTATATGAAACCACAATACAACACTTTTTCCAAAGTGGTTTTGCCTTTTAAAATCCCACCAAATAAGAGATACAGTATATTTAATTTTAGACATTCAACTGTTTTTGTAATGGTTTCTCTTTAGTTTTAATGTGTTTTTCCCTGATGACAACGATTAATGTCACTCATGTATTTGGTAAAGTATCTGCTCAAACTTTCTTTTATTAGACTGTTTGCCTTGGAAACACTGAGTTATAAGAGTTCTATATATATATTACAGATACAAGACCTTTGTTGTACACTAGGAATTACAAGTATTTTCTCCTGGGATATAGCTTGCTTTTATGTTTTTCATTAATGCTTTCCTATTATGTTTATTTTTATTAGAACTTAAGATATCTTTGCCTATTACAATGTCAAAAAATTTCTCTTGTTTTCTTCTGATTTATAAATTAGCTGTTACTTCTAAGTTTACATACCCCATCAAGTTAAATTTTGCATTTGATGTGATGTATAATTTGAGGTTTATTTTTTCCCCATACCAGTACCTACCTACCCTAGCACTAATTTCTGAGGATTATCCTTCATTTGTTAAATCACTATGGCAACCTTTTGAAAAATCAAATATATTTATAGGTCTATTTCTGGGCTCCTTATTGTGTTTAATTGTTCTTTAAGTCTACCTTATGACTATCTTGAGTATTGTCACTTTATAGTTAAGTTTTAAAATGAGGAAATGTAAGTCCTCAACATTGTAATTTTTTCCCTAAAAGATTATTAGTGGAATTCCACCCTTTAGATATCTATAGAAATTTACAATCAACCTGTCAAATTCTGCATAAAAGTCTAATGGAATTTTGATTGGGACAACGCTCAATCTATGGCAATTTATAGAAAACTGTCATTGTGATAATATTGTGCTTCCAATAAGTCAACATGGTCTCCCCCATATGTATTTCTTTCTCTCCAGACTGCTTTGGAATTTTCAGTATAAAAGTCTTACACATACTCTGCTAAATTTATGCCCCAGTATTTCAAGTTTTTTTTCAGATATCACTAATTGTTTCTTGCTAGTATACAGAAGTGTGACTGATTTTACAGATTGAATTTATATGATGGGATCTTGCCAAAATTTCGTTATTTGTTCTAATAGTTATTTTTGTAGAATCCACATGCATGGTAATATGTACAAGATTGGGTTACATCTCACTAAAAAAGCAGTTTCCTTTTTCCTTTCATATGTTTATATATTTTTTTCTTACAGTATTGGCTAGTCAATGCCAATGGGAGTAGGTTTAGAATTGGTTACAAAAGAGGATGAAAGAACTTTCTGGGGTTATACTGACTGTTCTATGTCTCAAATATGATATACATTATATGACCGCATAAATTTATCTAAATATCATAAGTTTATCTAAATTCATAGAACTGTATACTTGAAAAGGGTGGCTTATCCTATGTAAATTATACTTTGAAAAACTGTCAAAAGAGCATCTAACTTGATGACACCCAAACTGAGTTCTTATCCATCTCTGTCCCACTTTTTATGAAAACATATATATTAGTAAATATAATAAAGAAGGCTCATGTTATTTGCCCTAATCAATGCCTGAGGAAAATAGAAATTTTTGTAGAAAATTAAATAACACAAAAAATTAATGCAAATTTAAAGTAGTCTAACATGTGTAATATGGATTACAAATAATGGCAGCTAGAAGACATTCCAGCACTCAAGCTTCTTTACCTGTATATTTGGACTTGAAGGAGTCAATGTAGCAAGCAGCATCATTTTCGTTAATGCCCATTTGTTCTCCTAAAGATTTAGCTCCCATTCCATAAATGATTCCATAGCAAATCTGCAAGGGAGTCATCATATTCGGTAAGGAAATTATGTCAGACCTACATAAAATGTGAATATAGCCAATTCATTTAGATTGAAATTTTTGGCAAACTTTTTATTTCATAGTGAGTCAAAGAAATGATTAGATCTGCCTTGGAGCTTGGTGTTGTTTTGATACAGGGTCTAACTATGCAGTTCAGGCTGACCTTGAACTCACTATGTAGCCCAGGTTGGCCTTGATCTCACTGTGATTCTCCTGCCTCAGCCTCCTGAGTGCAGGATTACAGGTGTATACCACCACACCAGGTTAGTGTTACTTCTTAAGAGAGAAGGAAAGAGGAGAGTGTAAGTGAATTTGAATGTGGGTGTGTGTTTTAGGAAAATAGTCCTAGTCTAAATAAAAGGAGAGGTATATTTCCATTTGTCCTCTACCCATCAACCATTTCAGCAGCTCCTTACTCCTTGGCATACCCCATTAACATCTGTATAAAGAAGCACAGAAGCTGGAAAGAAAGCATTATAAACATCCCTCTAATTAGCTGTGGACAGGACTAAAGGAACAAATTGTTTGTTAACATGGAGACCATGCTAGAAATAAATACCTTCAAATTACAACACCCTAACATCCCACAAAGGCAGAATTTATCTGGGTTAAATACAAACAAAATCTAAAGAAATCTGGGGCTCAGTGGAGAGAAAAGATCCAGGTGGGCCCCCAAAGAGACTTTGATTTAGCAGGGACTCAACACTCACAAGGCATAAGCTCTTTCACTAATCACTCAACCTCTCTTTGTGTCATTTCTTCATCTATAAAATGAAGATGGTAATGCCTGTCATGGGATTAAGATTGGAAGAATTACTGCATATAAGTGTTTATAAAACTGTCTAGCATACAGCAAGCTCTATGTGAATGTTAAGCAGAACACAAAAAGATAACTTCCATAAAATGAGTATCAGAATTCCAAACATTTTCAATGTAATAATTAAATCAGAGGATCCCCACTACCATCACCTTCTTTCTTTTAATCTTTTGGGGAAGAGGTTACTCTTTATTTTCCTTTTGTGGCTTATGAAACAGTGCTTTATCAGCTCTGTGTGGTGGTGCATGCTTGTGATTCCAGTGCTTGGGAGGCTGAAGCCAGAAGATAATTACAAGTTCAGAGCCAGCCTGAGCTACATAGTGGATTCAAGGCCAGCGTGAAGTACATAATGAGATGCTGTCTCAAAAAAACTAACAAAAAAAAGCTTTATTTTGTTATGATTCCTAATGCTTTTTTGTTTTTAGGTCATAAAACTTACTACTGTCTAAGATCTCAGCAAGATTAATAAATTAGGTGGTTCAATGCTTGGTGAAGTAGGAAAAAATGTGCTATTGCAGATACATGGGTAAATCATGAAAGGGCTTATTACATAGAGGCAGTCACCACCAGTGAATGAATGTGTAGACTAGAGGGCCAGACTGTCCAAGTTATAACCTTTAGAATTTCTCCTAACTCTACCACTTAAAGATGTATGACTTTGATCAAATTACATTATGTGCCTCGGTTTTCTCCTCCATAGAATGGGAACAGAAATAATAACACCTATCTAAAAAGTTGATTACGAGGCTTATCTGTGGGAATATTACCGATGTTGCCTAGGGTTTGATCCTTGCTAAGTGCAGGACCCCAGAGTTGATTAAACTGGCTTTCCTAATAGTGAAAAAAACAAATGTTGGTGTTAAACAAGAAATGATGAGTAGAAGCCAGTTAGGCACGACAACTGAAAGCAATAAGAAGTGCATGTGTAAGAGGAATAGCATAGGACTTGCAGCTGAGGCCCTAAGCCTCTACCTGTGCCAATAATCCTGCAGTCTGTTCTACAGGACACTGATAAGGAAGCACAGTGCTAATCAAGGCCAGGAAATATATAAATGTGGCCCCTGATGTTCTCTGTGCCTAACATTATTTAGGAGTAGGAACTCAAACAGATCCATTTCAAAGGTACAAGTGCAGCACGAAGTTTCACCAGCCCCAAAAGGCTAAGCAGTTACCAGGTGTTAATTACAATCCATAGCTCAGCAATATTTTTCAACAAATGCTTACAGAGCATCTCTATACAACATACTGTGGCTCGATGTGAGGAAATAGAAAAGTGAAAAAATTGAACTTTATGTCAGGACATTTAATGACTAGAAAAAAAGATTTTAAAATACATATACAATTAACACAACCAATACTGTGACCTCTACCACTTTTGAACAAGCATCTACTGAGTATAAGGAATTGTAACTAGCCTTCCCATGGTGCTGAATACACAAGGCTTTCTTGACACTAAGTGGCCTCAGAGCTTCACCTTCCAGTTCTTTCTATTGCCACTACAAAAGAATAAAAAACACCATGAATCAGGCTCTGAGGAAAGTAGTCCAAAATATCCAAAGGTAGAGAAAATGTTCCTCAACTTCAAATAATTGTGATAATTAAAAATTTTTGAACCATTAAATTCTTGTGATTTCTACCAAGCATGTTCACTAAGATCACCTGCTTTGCTTGCTGCCTCAGATCATTTCCAACAGACTCTGGCTCCACCATCTTCCATTCTGCTGCAATACTCTTGAAAACATCAGCGCCAGTGTTTAATACTTGAATGAGATGACAGTCATGAGATAAATGAGCCAAGATCCTCAGTTCAAGCTGAGAGTAGTCAGCAGCCAATATCAAACCACCTGAAGTAGAAGTGACCATAGATAAGCTAGTGCAAAGCTGTGTAATATAATCCAACTTCTAGTAATTGAGCAGTTTGACAGAAATCTAGTTCTAATTTAGAACTTTAAGATCAAGTGTTCCAAAGTTAAAACCTTGCTTCTAATTTGATGCCATTCAGTTCTGTGTATTTGGTTTGTTTCTGTTTACTTCTCAGGTCTGTGTACCATGTATAAAGCTGCCCTCACTTGTGTCCCCTAACCATGGCGCAGTGTTTTCCTTAGTGCTCCTGCAGCACCAGGCAAATAATATGAAAAACGCTCTTTGATGCCTCCCCTATGTGGCACTAGGTCTTTATAAACGAGAAACTTAAATTTCCTTTTCATTCCACAGAAAACCTTGCAGAGATTCCAGTGCACAATGGGCCATGAGAAATGGTCGTTGAATGAATAATTATCTTAAAAAGTTGGTCTCTAATGAGTGTTAAGTGAGCTGGAGAGAAACATGCTTTACTTTGACAATAGCAAAGATATTCATGAAAAAAATTCAAGCCATCAGTAAGTAGGTGAGAGAGTTATTAGGAGGATTAAAATAATTTATGGATCGGAAATAACTGAATTAGTATGGCAAAAACAAAAGCTTGATCAAAGATAAAGTAGGAAATATTTTAATTTACATCAACAAAGGACTCGTTGCCATATTACAAGGAGACTTGCTATAAATCAAAAAGTCAAATTATTAGTAAGTAGTTTACAGGCATAAAACAAAGAACCTTAAACACATTTAAAAATGCTCAATTCGAATTGAAATAAAAGAAATGAAAACTAAATCTATGGCAAGAATCAAGTTTTCTTCACTTAAATTGCAAAAATCCAGAAGTTTGGGAAACATACTATGGCAAAACTGTGAAGAAAGAAAGAGATGTTTCTGGGAAGTAAATGGTAACCCCCTCCCCAATAGATGGGTGTGTAAGTAATGAACAGCAGGAAAGCCAGGATAGCTACACAGAGAAACCAAATACAAATTTTAGAGCTGAAAATAAATATCTACAATGTGAAATTCACTAAAAAGCTCTGGCAATGATTATATCCTGTAGAAGAAAAAAATCAATAAACATTAAAACATTCAATAAAACTATCCATTAAAGCACAGAGTGAAAAAGGGGAGGGGATCAAAAATAAAAGAAAAAGGGCTACTGACCTAGGGAACATGATCAACCAGCATTACATGTATGTATTTGGAATAACAAAAGAAAGACAGATGAGGACAAAATGTTCCAACCAATGTCTGGAATGTTTCAAATTTAACAAAAATTACGAGGACAGAGATTTTTAAAATTTCAAAACAAAGCAAACTGAAGAAATCAAATTCTAAAAATCCAAGTAGCAAAGCATGAATTCTTAAGATTCACAGCCAAATCAAACTGAAAAACAAGGAAAAAACTGAAAAAAACACAAGGAGAAAGACACACTACTGTTGGAGGAATCATAAGAAAAAGGGAGGGAATACTTCATAACAGAAGAAAATGCAAACAAAATAATGGAAATCCTTAAAGTGTTAAGAGAAGAGAACTGTGAATCCAGAAATCTCTATCAAATAAAATATCCTTCAACAAGGAGAATGAAATAAGGACATTTTCAGATGTAGAAATGTAGAAACTAATTAATGTCAGCAGAACTACACAATAAGCAATCTCAAAGGATATCCCCTGAGTGGAGAGAAATGATAACAGATGGAAACTTGAATCTTCCTTCAAAAAGAGTGCCAGAAATGGTAAACAGTGGCTACACAGTAAAGATGCTTTATTGTCTCCTAATTTCTTTGAAAATTTATAACAGAGTGTTTAAAGCCAAAATATTAACTATCTTGAAGAGGATATAATATAGTCATAGAAGTTAAATCTATTATAAAAAAGAGAAATGGAAATAAACCCTGTATATTAATGTATAAAATTATTTGAAGATACACTGTGACATAATGCCCATTGTAAACTCTAAAATGTCTAAAATATATATGTAGTTAGTAAGTCAGTAGTGGAAGTAAAACAGATAAATAGAACAGGTCAGTGAATGCTGCTAAACAGATTTATTTTGCAGAATAAAAAGTTTGGAAAATGGATTAGAGGCAGCCAAGTACTCAGAAGAGGATCAGGGAGATGCATCTAATATAACAGGTACTCAGCTCTGTTCAGGAGACAGAGGATCATAGGAAATCCCTGTATTGCAACTTGAGCAAACTACCAACCAGGCAAAACCCAGAAATACTGTGCTGATATTTAGAATGATAAGTAACACAAAGTGAGGCAGAAAGATAACAGGAGACCTGGAGAGAATGAACCTCGAGCCTTCCATGCTGGCATGGCTCTGTGGGCTTAGGTCCCATTTTCTAAGGTTTGTGTCATCTTCCTAACCTAACAAGAGGCTCCCAACAGTGATCATTGTTCCCATCCCTGTGGGAGGGTGAGAAGATTTTTCAGAGGGACCATGGCCCTCAAAGGGAAGGGACTGTGCGAAGTATTCTAGCAAAGGGAGGTCCACAGACAGACCAGACAGGTAGCCAGGGAAGGGCCAAGCCAAAGGGAGTCAGGAAGATGCAGCCAGGACAACTGGAGCTCATTAGAGAAAGGACCCATAGATTGGCAGGATTTTCTTGTCCAAAAGTAAGACACATACCTCTCTAAAGAATGTCTTTGTTCTGTTTAAAGTCACAATTAATGATGTTTGCAAGATTATGCCTGCTACATTCCCTGAGCTCCTATAGGCCCACTTTTATGTCAAACTTTCTGGACTGTAAGCCCATAGGTTAATCTCAACTTGTTGAAAATTTACTCATTTAGGGGTATAAAACCCCCTAAACAAAGAAAGCTTTTGGGCAATCCTTTTCAGGCTCCCTCCCAGATTCATCTGCCTAGGAGCTTTTTGCTTTCATTTTACAATAAATGCTGCCTTCTGCTTTCACTCTACAATAAATACTTTTGATGAGTCTTCTTTTGCCTTTCTAACATGTAATTATTTCTGGGATGAGAGAAGAACCCAGCAGCCAGAGGGTAAAAGAAACACTGCAGCACCAGCAATGAACAGCGGTGCTCAGTGGGGAAGTAGGGCTTTCCCTCCACATGGCATGAAAGAAAACCTCTAGCATATTCCCAGGCAATGGCTACGTTCACCCAGGGAGTCAAGGGGCACCCGCCCTAATCACTAGGAGAATGTTAATGGACATGGAAATACTAACCCTGGGGGATGAGGGAAAGTGCTCAGGACCTGGCTCTCAGGAGACTGGAACACAAGGCTGGAAAAATCTCAGTGGATAAACAGACTGCATGAAATCCAGCAGGCAGTGAGCACAATCAAGCAGGTGGAAGAAAACACTCCAAAAGAAAAGGGCAGGTATTGTAGTCAGGGTTTGCAAGGGAATAGATTTAATACAGAACACATAATTTATAGGATTATTTTATAATAGTCAACCCCAAAAAGTCAAATGTAAAGGAGTGCAAGAGATTAGTTGTGCACTAAAGATCCAAAGAATTCAGCCAAAGACCTGAATCCCACAGCAATGTCCTGCACAAGTCCAGTTGAAGGTCTAAATTCCAAGGCAATGTCCTCCATGAGTCCAGCCAGTGGCCTAGAGCCCACACAATGTCTCATGCTTGTCTGTGTCAAGTATCCAGAAGGCCCACAAGCTTGTGGTGGAAGACAGAAAACCTGCACCAGTGGGGTGAAGGATTTGTGCCATGAGGCTGAGGGATCTACACTGGAGCCAGGAAGTCATGCTTAAGGTGAAGATCAGAGCTTCCCTGACAAGAACAGCAGCCATTCCCACTGACAGTGAGGCTCTGAGCTCCTCCTCTAATGAGAACAGTCAAATTTGCTTCAGAAACACCAACCTTGGCAAACTTCTCCTAGAAAATCAACAACCCCTGCTCTTCCCCTCCAGTTCTTACATGTTCTCTCAAAACAAGTGTTATTTCATAGGGTTTTAAAATTTTGTGTTTCTGTTAGTTCATTAACTGGACTCAATATCCCTATATTTTCTCTCACTTTCCATGTAGACTCTCTTTCATTCTTTCTTTACTTCTCTCAAAGCTCCCTTCCTATCCCCTTGTCTTGTATATACATATTATCGTCCAAGAATTTTTTTCTCTTTCCTAGACTATTCTACATCATTACTCCCCCCTTCTTTTCCTGGGTTAGTGAAATAGTACAGAACTTTTAAAACAAGTTTTTAAGTTACATATTGACTATATTTTTTTGTTTCTGTTGTTGTCTTCTACTAGAGATCAAACTTGGGACCTTGAGCTTGAAAGCAGGCAGTGGAACCATTGAGCTAAATCCCTGGCCCAGTTGACTAGTTTTTGTTTTTTTTTTTTTTGGTAAAGGGGATCAAACTCAGGTCCTTGCCCTTGCGAGGCAGGCAGCAGAACCACTGAGCTAAATACCCAGCCCGCCGACTCATTCTTTAGATGTTAATATCACTGGTATTCTCTCCTTGCAAAATAGTGTTAGGGTTTGCACCTACACTCTGAATGTGTTGAATGAGTGCTTTCACACTGAGATGTACCCTCAACCAAGGACACATCACAAAGAGAAAGCCATTTACTAAAAAGACCTCCATACAATACTGTAGAGATGTTCATTCAACTGATCTGTAAGCTTCAACACAAAAACAAAGAGACTGAGAAGCCAAGGCAACAAGATGCCTCCAAAAATTTATAACTCTCCAAAAACAGATCTCACAGATACTGAAGTAGATTAAATTCCATACAAAGAATTTAGAACCTGATAATTAGAATGATTGATGAGAGGAAAGAAGATACAAATATATATCTGAATTAAGGAAAACAGAAGATATGAAAGACCATTTCAGTAAAGAGATAGAGGTTCTGAAAAACCAAAAAATATTCTGCAATCCTCAATTAGTTAAATAAAAAACTCAGGGGGTAAAGGGAGGGCAGGGACAAGGGGAAAAAATGAGAACAAAAACCTATCATGTAAAGGTACAAGATCCCAATGATGAATGTAACTGT